CACAAATGAAATCACTTCTAAGCGGAGTGATACACGTATATGCGCATTTATAAACGCAGGTGAATATACGTCAATGGAGATGAGTGATTCTCTTCGGAAAATGATTGAAAGTTTTGTTTACAATGAACGATTGCGTTAACAATCGAATCGCACCAAAAAAAAACAACTTCATCAACATCGAACATCAGCACAATCACTCAATACCAATGCCATCAGCATTAATTCTCCTGCTCACCGAACAAATTTTTTGGTGAGACGACGATACGATCACAAGTATGAGATTTATGACGGCACAAGTCGTCTGCTACTTTTCACCAATCCATTAATCTTCTCTATGCCAACATAACTACTTTCGGAATTATTCGACATTTCAGTGCTGTCCTCAATGATAAAAACTGAAATTTATCATCATTTCATGCTGAATGCACAACGAACTTTTTCCATATTCACGTCGTCCTTTTCCTTTCAGCACTCCTCCTTCCTTGTGAACTAGAACCGAGTCGAGTTAGTAAATCATAAATCGTCACTGAAGCACTGAAGATCGCAAAATAGATCAGGCCTTCGAATAGGCACAAGATACAGTGCTTGTCAACGACCGTATCAACTGGTTCACCTTGAATGACTCTCTTGAATCCGTTCGCTCCGACGGACATACTTTTGAAATCTACCGCATCTCATTGCACTATCACCTTGCAGAGCAAAAAAAAATACAGCAGCATCGAACATCAGATAAAACTGCTGCTCTAAGATGCAAACACAAAAAGGAGAATGTAATTCCATGGCACTTATCGAGAATCACTTAATCGATGATGTTGGAAATATTTCATAGCGGTACAATTGATAGAACAGATTTCATATTTCAATCTTTCGAATCATTTGAAAGCCCTACATGATTCAGTTATATTTCAAAAGAGACCCTTTTGAATGAATTGAGTCGAAATCGATTCTAAAGCGGTTTGGTAATTGCTGACCATTGCGAAATACCTTGCGATGATTTTTTTGCACATTTCACAGTGCTATGGAATACTTATGCTATGGAATATTTTTATGCAATGAAAGCATGAAATGTGATTCACAGAAAGACTTTACGAACTGTATGATGCAATTCTACTGTACCGTGCAGTTTGGAGAGATACGAACGCAACAACGGCAAGTCGAACTATCGTTGAGGCATTCCTATCTCGAGACGGTATATTATATAATAGAACTGCATCAATACAGAGATATTACAGTTTGGAACTGGAAAAAAATGGTGAATTTGAATGAATTGCAAGAATGTGGTACGAAGAAAGAAAAATGCGAAAAATGGGGGCAACGCCTCGCTGAGCTTATATGAACAAGACAAGAGGTATTTAATTCGATTACGAAAAAAAAGCTTTTAGAGCTACAAAAAACCACAAACAAACAAACAAGACAGCAAGATTTTTAAATGCATTTTGAGGAAAATTCCACTTTCCGATCTTTTTACATTAAAAGATTTCAATGCGAACAAATTGCTTTCTTCGGTTTTTGCATTCGTTTCTTCATTCGTTTCGGGACATTGTGTAAGGAATGAGAAAAGTGGAACGAAACATGTTGAAAGTTGTCGATCGTGTTAAACAAATTATCGTTGGTGCAGTATTAGTCTAATGAACTTTGTTACAAATTCCGCGAAGTTTTTACAGGGTGTATTCATCGGAACAAGATGAATAACATCCGTTCCACCGAGTTGACAAAAATCTACAGCATCGTCCGTCACTCGTTCCAACCTCTTCACCGTCACTATACTGACGAAGAGCATTTAAGGAAATGAACATTCAAATGCTCGGTTGCATTCATCCAAATGAAATTGTTTCTCAAGCAATTGATCATTATTTAGGCAGCTAGGGAACACGAAATTTTCCAATCTTTTCATTTGAATTCTGAAAACAGCACAAACAATCCCTGAAACCAACGTTTTTTAGGTTGGTTTATGAGCCACTATGCGATCAGTTCTGAGTTCGTTATCATATCATTTGAAGCAACCAAAATAAATTCACAAAAGTTGATAATACGAAGAGAATATCCTCGAGTATAGCTAAAATCCAGAAAAATCAGTCAATTAGTGAGCGAAAGATGGAAATTCGATTCTTTGTTAGATCAAATGCTTGGACTAGTGTAGCACTGGAACAGGCTTTGG